TATAAATAATTATTTTTATTTGAATAATTATAAATATACAAATAATTATATATTTAAGAACTTAAAAAATTAATATGATTACATTTTATTTGAATATTTCATTAAAAAATTTTCCAATCTTGTACTCATTGTTGAAACTAGAATTTACTAGTTATTTAGTATCACGTCATTTAGGAATTTTATGTTGTATTGTTTATATACCTTTTTTGTATCCATAGATCAATAGCCCACATGGGTTGAAGGAATCATGTGAGTATGATTAGTTGATATTTAATATATAACATTATAAAATTTTCAGAATTATACTCATTAAAAAAATTTTTGATCCATAGGTCAAGAGCCCATATGGGGTGAAGGAATCATATATGTGAGTATGACTAACTAGTATTTAACATATAACATTATAAAATTTTCAGAAAAAATCGGGTCGGTGCATTGGCGGACTGAAATATAGTATTCAAGAAAAGTTAGAACTGAATTCCATATGGTCTCTCTCTTAGGCAATTAATTTTGGTCTAAAAGTGGAAATGCAGCAGCATCGAGCTCCCAGATTTGTGAACCCTCGAAGGGCGCCCCTGGACATGTCAAATGAGCTTAATAAAGGAGCTTCCGCCTCTACCAAATCTGCTATTAATGCCCCGACCCCGCCATCAAGGCCAAGTGTTCAAAGTCCTGAGAACAAAAACCTATCCAGAGCCAAAACTGCACCTCCAAACAATCCTTATGCTAAGCCATCGACCTTAAAATGCTTTCGTTGTTTCAGCCCGGCCACAAATCCAACGAATGCCCCCAACGACAGCAATTGCAGCTACTAGAAACTGAAGAAGGTGAGGCATTGAATCCTTCCAATACCGGAGAAGAAGAATTCAAAGATGTCGAAGGCGACGAAGGTGACCCGCTGATGTGCGTCCTCGAGAAGTTGCTGATAGCTCCTCGCCAAGCTATATGTCCCAACGGAATGCCATTTTTAAGGCCCGTTGCACTATTAATGGCAAGGTTTGCGACCTTCTCATTGACAGCGGCTGTACAAAGAACATCATCTCTCGTTCCGTTGTCCAAGCCCTTCATCTCAAAACGATACATAATCCGCAACCGTATAAGATTAGTTGGGTTAAGAAGGGGATTGACATACCAATGACAGAGATGTGTCAAGTTACTTTTTCCATCGGGCGACAGTATGTGTGCGAAGTGCTATGTGATGTACTAGACATGGATGTCTGTCACTTAATCCTTGGCCGACCATGGCAGTTTGATGCTGGTGTTATGTATGACGATCGAGCCAACACGTATTCGTTGGAGTGGAAGGGAAAACGCCTCCGATTGCTACTAGGCGCCCACGATGGCAAGCAACCCACTCCCAACGCCACACCTGCTTCTGTGATGCAGATCGTCTCAGGTCCGACTTTGTTGTTGAGTTGGCGAGATTCTTCTACCTTGTGGGCACTTATAGTTACCGACGCCACGAGCTCTCCGACTGCCCAAACTCCTGATATCCTTGCAGAATTACTTGAGGAATTCGACGATTTATGCCCTCAAGAACTCTCGGCCATTCTTCCCCCATTGCGAAAAATTCAGCATCAAATTGATCTCCATCCTAATGCATCCCTACCGAACCTGCCTCATTACCGGCTCAATCCAACTGAGCAACAAATCATGCAGGGAATTATCGAAGAGCTATTGAGTAAACAGCTTATCCAGGCCAGCATCAGTCCCTGTGCAGTCCCAGCCTTGCTTATTCCTTCCTAAGAAGAACAGTGAATGGCGACTATGTCTAGATAGTCGAGCCATCAATAAAATAACGATCAAGTATCATATCCCGTGTGACGCGCGTTGCGTGCCCGTCGCCTACCAACTTAATCGTGACGTGCCTGCCTGCTCGAGTCGCATTACCGCCTACGCGAGTCTCGTCGCCGCCTAGCGCCTGCCCTGCTTTTCTTGCACCGCCAGCATTTTTTGCACGGCCGCTACCATCTCTCGCTGCCATCTCCGCGATCGTCGCCTGTGCAAAAAATGCCGAATGACCGATCCCCAAGCGGGTTGGGTCGGGTTGACCCGACCCCAAAGCTGGTGGGGTTCGGGTCCAGAAAATTGATCTGTTTGCAAAAACAGGTTGGGTTGACCAGAATCCGAATAGTGCCGGGTCAGTTCTCGGTTCAACCCAAACCCGACCCTGAATCGAAATTGACACCCCTAGCTGGAAGTCTAGAACTTCAAAATCAAAATTTGAAAAACAATAAGATTAGTTATAACACTCATTTCATTGAGTGGTTGATTTAGGTCATAAAATGATAATTTTATATGAGTGAAGTTGAATTGATCTTTTTAAATTTTTTTTGTATTATTTAATAACAAACTAATTAGGTCCTTAATTTTTTTTCTTACAAATAATTAACACTTAGAGAGGAAAAAAATGATTATTCTCTTAAGAAAATGAGGCCATGTGGCTTTTTTTTATATATAAATATTAAGGCTTTAATTGGTACAACTTTCTTACAATTTTTAAAAACAGATTTTTAGAAATTTTTTTTTATTAAAAAGCCGCTTTTTTACTTTTTATTTTTTTATATTAAAAAGCCGCTTTAAAAAGCTGATCCAAATCTTTTAGGATGACTTACTTACTATTTTTAAAAATAATTTTTTAATATAAAATTTGCATTAAAATATTATTTTAAAAAACAATAAAAAAATTCCTTGTGGCTTTCTTGTTGCTTTATGAGGCAACTTTCTTTTACAAAAATTTTTAGCTCAAAGAATTTTTGTACTAAAAAAAATATTTTAAAAAATAGTAAGAAAATTGTCCAAAACGAAATGTTATGTTTTATTTGGAACAATTTTCTTACTACTTTCTAAAACAACTTTCTAATTTAAAATTTTCTAGTTCAAAAATGTTTTAATTAAAAGCTGCTTCAAAAAATAGTAAGCAAGTCGTCCCAAATGAAGCATTTAGTCTACCCTATCACACTTCAGCTTACCAAAGCTCCTTTAGTCAAAAGTCAAAACATTCTGTAAGCGCAGTGAGCTGGCAATGAAGAACAATTTATAATAAGCAATAAAAAAACCGTCCCAACCGAAGCCTTAATCTTTTGCTTTTGGCTTCATCAACAATCTGTAAGTTGTGCTTCATTGCCAAAGGATTGTGTTTAGGCATGCAGCATGATAACAATCCCACGATATATATCCTTTTGCTTTGTAGTTTTTGGCTTAAAAAGTCTAAGTTTAGGTTTTGGCTTCCTTAGATCATTTTCTTATTATTTTGTATAGTAGCTTTTAAGTGCTTTTTTTTTTTTAATTTAAAAAAAAAGGTTAAAAGCTGTCTCAAACTATTAGAACAGCAAAATGAAAACCTGACTTCTTTCTGTCCTATAAGAGTGTGACACGTGTAAAGCATACTGTGTAAACATCTATATATAGCTGTGTTATAATGGTTAATAAAATGAATTCATAATTTCCTTTCCACTGTTTCTACTTGTATTCTTTCGTTCTCATTAATCGTTCTTGTTGAAATCCAAGTTTTCTGAATTTAGATTTGTACTATGAGCCTTTGACTTGTGGAAATATAAGTCTATTGTGGTATGGGGAACAGGTTCATAGTTTATGTACAAAGTTTGGGCTTGAAAAAAATGCATTCGTGATGATCCTGCTAAAACCTGCTCTCATTCAGACCAAGAAGACAACACAATGAAGACTCATAGTGAAGAGATGTCTATATCTATGGGTGAATTTTCAAATGGAGAACTAGTTAATTAATCTGTCTCCTAGGTGTTTTGCAAATTCTTGTAGTTATGGTTAAATGAATAAGTAATGATTTTAATGGTTTTCTTAATGACTGTAGATATGCAGAGCTGTACTCATTGAATCTAATTTATGCCACTGTTAAGGTAAGATGCTTTCCCTCTGATTTCATTCAGGATTTCAGTTGATGCGATTATTGCATCGCTATTTCATGGCATTCTGCTGCGTGGGATCTGGTGTGGAACCGCAAATCACCTGCAGAAAATAGAGAAGAGAAAGCAAACCGAGGAAGACAGGGGAAGAAAGGCAAGAAACCTTTGTAAAGGAATTTGGTATATTCTTTTCTGTCTTTTCCCTCAGCTGTCAGGCTACTTATATGCAAAAGTATAAAGAGGAAGAGTGGTCCTCAAAACGGAAAAGAGAAACTACTAGTGGAGCCGATATATGGCATCCAAATGGAAAATAAGAAAATGCAGTAATAACTAAGGAGTAGTGGTAGCTTAGCCTGGTTGTGTTGCTCCGTCGGATTAGGATAACCCACATCAGGTCTCCCCTGCTGTAGAATTTTCCTCACCTGAGGAAATGTCTTGAACTATGCCTGTGTCTGGGGATTTGAAAGCGTAGATATCGGAGACATTAAAAGTGGCTGGCGTAAGGAAATTTGGTGGGAGATCAACAATGTACGCATTGTCATTGATTCGCCGGAGGATTGGGACTGGGCCAATCTTGCGGGGGCTCAGTTTTGAGTATGTCCCAGGTTGAAAGCGCTCACGGCGAAGACGGACCATAACAAGATTGAATATTTTCTCACGCCGGTGAGAGTCAGCCAACTGTTTGTAAGTGTCATTTGCTTGTTGTAGCTTCAGTCGGACGTCTTCCAACATGCGAACGTAGGTTTCTGAAGCTTCAGTAGCCACTTTACTTCGGCATTGCGGTAGAACAGTAACATCAACGACATGGTTCGGCACATTAGTATAAACAATGCTGAATGGACACTTACCCGTCGATCGATTTGCCATGGAGTTGTATGCAAACTCCGCTTGTCCGAGGAAATCATCCCATTGTTTTGGGTGTTCATGAGCTAGGCAATGGAGCATATTGCCCAGTGTGCGGTTGACAACCTCAGTCTGGCCATCGGACTGAGGATGATATGCAGAGCTCAGTTTAATTTTGGTGTGTAGCCTTTTCCAAAGCTCACGCCAAAAGTGACTAATAAACTTTACATCACGATCGGATGTACTACTGCGGGGAATACCATGGAGGCGCACGATCTCCTTGAAGAAAAGGATTGCCACATTAAGCGCGTCAAAAGTCTTTTTGCAAGATAAAAAGTGTGCCATCTTTGAAAAACGATCAACTACCACCATGATCGAATCAGCGCCGCGCTTCGTCTTCGGCAAACCCAGTACAAAATCCATGCTGAGGTCTTCCCATATTGAGTTAGGCACGGGTAATGGCATATATAAGCCAGTATTTTGGCTAGTACCTTTACATTGTTGGCAGATTGGGCATCGTTCCACGAAACGAATGACATCCCTGGTGATATGTGGCCAATAAAACCTCCTTTGTAATTGCTCCAGCGTCTTCGTTCTACCTGCATGAGCGGCCAACCCGCCGTTGTGTAGTTCCTGTATCAGATACTCCCGCCAGGAAGATTCGGGGATGCACAGCAAATTCCCCTTGAAGAGGTAGTTGTGTCGGATTGAGAAGTCTTTACAAGGCACCGGTGGTGAGCTAGACAGCAATCGCCAAGGTTCTGAAAAATCTTTGTCAGAGGCGTATAATTCTTGCAATGACTCAAGGCCCTGTATGTCTGTTTGGAGCTGAGTAATCAGAGCTGTTCGGCGGCTAAGAGCGTCGGCGACCCGATTCTGCGCTCCAGACTTGTGTTTTAGAACAAAACTGAACCTTTGCAAAAAGGTTACCCACATCGCGTGCATCTTGTTCACGGTCTTTTGGCTGTTAATGTACTGGAGAGCGTGGTTGTCGCTACACAAAATGAAATCTTGATGCAGCAAGTAATGTTCCCATTGCTTCAATGCGCGCACTACAGCGTACACCTCTTGCTCATAGGCAGACCAATTCTGCCGGGCGGGGCTTAACTTCTCACTGAAGAACTCGACTGGGCGATCTTCCTGCGACAGGACAGCTCCAACTCCAATTGCAGACGCGTCCGTATCCACATGGAAGGGTTTCTGGAAGTTAGGCACAGCCAAAACAGGAGCCGCTTTAAGGCCTCTTTAAGTGTGCTGAAACTGCGCTCTTGTTCAGGTCCCCATTGAAAAATCTTCTGTTTGAGGCAGTCGGTGATCGGCGCAATGATGATGCTGAAGCCCCGAATGAATCGCCGATAGAAATTGGCCAATCCCACGAAGCTCCGAACCTCCGCTACAGACATTGGAGATGGCCAATTGGTGATCGCAGCGACCTTCTGCTGATCCATGTGGACACCTTCATATGACACTATGAACCCGAGGAAGTGCACCGAATCTGTGGCGAATTCACATTTCGACATGTTAATGAACAATTTATGCAGCCTCAAGAGGGTCAAGATAGAGATGAGATGCTCAAGATGGTCCTGCATTGTTGGGCTGAAGACCAAGATGTCGTCGAAGTAGACGACGCAACACTTTCCCAAAACTGGTTTGAGGATCTCATTCATGAGCCTCATAAATGTGGCCGAAGCATTGCAGAGGCCAAACGGCATTACTTGCCACTCATACAGCCCCTCGCGGGTCTTGAACGCCGTCTTCTACTCGTCGCCCGGACGGATACGTATCTGGTGATACCCGCTCCGCAGGTCTAGCTTCGTAAAGATGGAGGCTCCAGCCAGTTTATCTAACATATCCTTCAGGCGTGGCACGGGGAAACGATACTTAATCGTTATTTTGTTAATGGCTCTGCTGTCAACGCACATACGCCAAGTCCCATCCTTTTTGGGCACGAGGAGAGCGGGGACTGCGCAGGGGCTTAAGCTCGGTTGAATTAATTTCTTCTGAAGCAAGTCGTCTACAATTTCCTGTAGAGCAGCGTGTTCCCGTGGACTCATCTTGTAATGAGGTAAGTTTGGCAATGAGGCCCCTGGCTGGAAGTCAATTTGATGCTGCAAGTTTCGGAGGGGTGGCAATTCACTCGGCAACTCACTTGGCCAGACATCAGCAAATTGGTGCAGGATGCCCTGAACGGCTGGCGGCAGCTGAGAAAAAGGCGTGACATATTCAGGGGATGTAGTCACCAATGCATATATGGTCTCAGATTCTTGCCATGATTGAATCAGTTGTTGCCCTGAAACAATGTACATTGCGGTTTTATCAGGTGACTCCTTGCCAAGAGTGCTACCAGCGTGAGGCAATAGTCGAATTCGTCGATTTTTCCAATCGAATGAGTACGTGTTATTTCGACCATCATACATAGCACCAACGTCGAATTGCCACGGTCGCCCAAGTATCATGTGGCAAATGTCCATTTCAAGGACATCACAGAGGACCTCACATATGTAATTCCTCCCTATCGAAAACGTCACCCGGCACATTTCGGAGACGACGATCTCAACGCCCCGTTTTACCCAGCTAATCTTATAAGGTTGAGGATTCTTCGTCGTCTTTAGTTGTAATTTCTGCACCAGTGCTTTAGAGATAACATTCTCAGTACACCCACTGTCTATGAGTACATCGCAGACACTCCCATTGATGGTACAACGAGTGCGAAAAATAGCATGCCTCTGATTGTTATTCCCCTGACGAGGGGCTAACAAAAGTCTTTCGAGAATGCAAGCTACCGATTCTCCCTCGTCCGCCTGAAGTTCTTCAAAGTCACGCTCATTAACTGCATCCGCTGCTAGATACTCTTCCTCCTGTTCGCCATCCATCAGCTGGATCTGTTGCCTATTCGGACACTCGTTAGATTTATGCCCTGGCTGAAAGCAACGATAGCACTTCAGAGTGATTGGCTTGGCATAAGGATTGCTCTCACGCAGGGGGAGTTTCTGTCGCAATCCTGATTTTGGTTCAGCTCCTAGCACACCCGCACCCCCTGGTTGAGGCGTTGCCGATTTCAACCCACTAGTATTCACCTGCTTTACAATGTCCCCAGCCGGTTCCGGAACAAACCGTCGCGTGTAAGATCCACGAGGTTGGCGATTGAGCTGAATCTCAGCTTTGGTGGCATAATTAACAGCTTGCGACAACGTCCAGACCGAATTCAATTCTAGCTTATCCTGAATGGCTTCTTTTAACCCACCGATGTATCGTGCCACCAACTGACTTTCGGATTCGCTGAGATTGTTCCGGGCACTCAACCTGTAGAACTCCTCGGTGTACTCATTTACTGTTCTATTGCCTTGGGAGCAATGCTGATATTGAAGGTAAAGCATCTGTTCAAAGTCAGTAGGAAGGAAATGTCCCCGGAGAAGACGTTTCATCCGAAACCAGCTAGTAATGCTACTCTTGCCTTCACGTCTCCTTGACTGGATTAACTGCATCCACCACGCTCCAGCCCCTTCCTTCAATCGGCAGGCAACATATTTGACCTGCTTCTATGGTGCGATCTCCATATAGTCGAAGAATGCTTCGACAGCTCTTTCCCAATCCAAGTACTCCTCGATATTCAACCTGCCATCAAAAAAGGGAATATCTAATTTAATTCGAAAGTCACCGTGTTGGCGGTGGTAAGGCTGCTCCCGCCTCGGCCGATCGTAATAGTTCGGTCGTTCCTCGCCTCCGGTGTCCGACGCTCCCGGATGATGAGGAAATTCGGTTCCCTCCTCTGAATCGGAGGCGTTATGAATCGCTGGTGTTGGTCTACGCCCATATTGATGCCGCCGCGCCGGTATGGTTGCCGGTGCCATCGGTCTACCAGCTCCTTGAAGGGGTTGATTCGCGCGCAATGATCGCATCTCCGTGCGCATCTCGGCAGCGAATCGGAAGAACTCAGCAGTGAGTACTTCCATCTGTTGCGCAATGCCCGTCTGCGCTGTCCACAGGGCTTCCAAGCTCCGATCGTCGTCGAGAGTGGAGCGTTTGCTTCCTTCCGCCATTGTCGCTCTAACCGAGCTCTGATACCAATGTGGTGTGGAACCGCAAATCACCTGCAGAAAATAGAGAAGAGAAAGCAAACCGAGGAAGACAGGGGAAGAAAGGCAAGAAACCTTTGTAAAGGAATTTGGTATATTCTTTTCTATCTTTTCCCTCAGCTGTCAGGCTACTTATATGCAAAAGTATAAAGAGGAAGAGTGGTCCTCAAAACGGAAAAGAGAAACTACTAGTGGAGCCGATATATGGCATCCAAATGGAAAATAAGAAAATGCAGTAATAACTAAGGAGTAGTGGTAGCTTAGCCTGGTTGTGTTGCTCCGTCGGATTAGGATAACCCACATCAGGATCTGAGGTAAACAACTGTCCAAACATTCTCTTTGTTTAGACATTTATTTAGCTCTATTTTCAGTTAACTGATGAGAATGGCCGGTCACAGGTTCTTTACATCATTCTTGGGAGCATGTTATATAAATATTCGAATAAAAAAGATAATCTGGGAAACTTAATCTAAAATTGGCGTTCATCATAACTTGGGTTCTGATGGCTTTTTAAACAGTATCCTTGGGAGCATGTTATACTGCTGAGGATCTAATGCTCTTGATGCTTATTGGTTATCCTTGGTTTTCCAGATTCTGCAGACCCTCACAGTTCAAGGCTTGAGTTCTAGTGGTTCAGTTCCTGGAGGACGAACATTTTTTTATAATTAAAAAGCTTTAAATTTAGTATTTAACTGCAGATTGTTAACTGTTAATTTTGTTAGCAATGATCAGCATCTTCAAGATAGCATGATTGGCATTGATGAAGAGGCTTTAGAAAGTAGAAGATACAAACATCTTCATGCTAAAAAGCCAAATTATGTGCATAAAAAGTTGTTAATCAAACATGAACATTCGTTGTAGCTAGAGATTACAACATGTGGGAATAAGACGACAACTTTTACTATGGGAGTGAGATTCCTTGTCGGACAAGCTGTTAATGCGACAACCTTCATAGCTGATGACCTTCGCAATGGTCAACTATAGAAGTTATAGTTGATTATTTTGTAAGCATTAAAATTTTAGAATTGAGATTTCAGAGATTATATTTTGTTTTTTTAATTGATGAATGTATTTTTAAAAGTATATGAATGAATGCAATTTTCATTTTCTTCTAGCAAATTCTTGTTTACTACATTTAAGAATGATTTTTTTTTAAATCATTACTTGTTATTTTTGTTATTTCAATGTAATAAAAATAGAGTTTTTTATTTAATATGTATTTTATGTCTAATTAATGAGAAGTAATTAGATGTGATAATATCAAAGAGTGATTAATTAATCTTAAATGTTTTAGCAAAGGTACAATAATTGAATAATAAATAAATTTTACTAAATATGACCAAAATTGATATGCATTAATAACCACATTTCATGAAATTAAAAGGGCTTGTGATTTACTTGGTTGATCTTTTTTGTGACCAATTTTTATTTTGGTCGCTATTAACGAATGTGATAAATAAAATTAATAATTAAAATATTAAATAGCATCCAAATAATTAATCATTAGCGTCAAAAAAAATGGTCGCTAAAATGTACTCATTTTAGCGACCAATATTAATTGGTGGTCACTAATTTAGCAACCAAAAAAAGTTTTGGTCGCTAAAAGTCTCAGCGACGAGGCAACTGCGACAACCCAGCGACCCAAAAATTTTTAGTCGCTATTTATTTTAGCGACCAAATTATCTTTATTAGCGACCAATTTAGATGGTCGCTAATAACCTTTTTTTCTTGTAGTGATCGCTCAGGCATTCCCTGAGATTTCTTCATGATATTACAGAGCTATATATAGATGTTTACCCAAAATTAATATGCTTTACACGTGTCACACTTTTATAGGACATCAAGAAGTCAGGTTTTCATTTTGCTGTTCTAATACAAACAAATCCTTAATTGCTTTTGAAGAAGTTGAAATGATGCTTTTGCAAATGTGGGATTTATATTGCTAACCCATAATTTGTATTTGAATATTGGTATTTATTTATGTTTAAATAATATCAAGCATATCATTACTATTAAAATTTTTTAAATGAAATTTATATTAAAATGTTATATTAATAAATATCAACTTTTGATATTAATTAAGTATGTAGGAATTACGAGGTATACATGTAAATATCGCTTTGAAATTTTGTTTTAAAATTAAAATAAGTGCTCTTTGTAGCTTTTGGCTTGGGAAAGTTCAAGGGTTTATTTGTCAAAAATTAATTTGCAGGAAATTAAAGCTTTTAAAGTAAATAAAAACAGATGTACTGCTCATCTATTTAAGCAAATTTGCCATTTACTTGAATTCACATTTATTCCTCATGAATGGATGCAACAGTCTATATATGGATGCAACAATTCATTCGGGGCAACTCATCTTTTTCAAGCAAATTAGCAGCTAGCTGGTTGTCTAAATTGGCGACTTCCTGGACGCTCCGCCAGCTTTAGGCATTGGC